AAATTCGGATACCGCCATAATTTTGTGAGTGATGCCTTAAAAAATTATTAAAAATCATTCAACCATATTTTTTAACATGAATATGCACAAAAATAACTTGAAATTTACTATTTGAAGGACCATAGTAATAATGAAAGTTGTTTTTGCTGGAATTTGTGGCAATACAGCAAAATTTACATCACCAACTAATCCTCTGGTAACAGATGAAGTTACTGTATTATCTAATCCCCATCCTAACTGCTTAGAGACTAATATTAATATATAATAGAATATTAGTTAACCCATAACAATCCATATGAAATTGGTAAATTTTAAAGAATTTATGTCACCAATTATTAAAACGCGATCCATAAAAGAGTATAATGCCCAAAAATTTGGGGCCCAGTATGCATGGCAAAGACCTCTTTTGAAGGGGAACAAACGAGAAAACACCTGTCCCAATTGCCCCATATAAAGGAATGGCCCGAAAGACAATGAAAAGATCGATATGACAGAAACTCCAAGGATTATAAACCTTGACCACGAAAATTTTCCAAGTTCTAAAAAAAAGAAAGAAAATAGTTCATGTAGCAGCTAAGACAAATAGTATATCATATTTAACATTAACGTTATAATTTTGCCTTTTCGAACCTTGACTTCCAAGATCTTTGAAGCAATAATGCCTTAACAAATAGACGAAGTAAGCAGGGGCAAGATAAAGAAATATGTGTTTAAAATTCAATAAAACAGCAAATATGATTCCACATAAAAGATCTTTGCCCTTGCATAAGTTGAATAAAATCAGTTTTTTTAAAGATCTGAATAAAGATCTAATTGATGATTATAATTTTTTATGATGAAATTACCTCTTTGGCATATGTCAACGAAAGTAAGAAGATGCCGTAAAGAAATCCATTATATTGAAAATGAATGTGTTTGTAGATGTCAAGGGATATAATTCGTAATCAAAAATGAATCACCCATAATACCAAATCCATTAAAATATAATTTCATCATAATTTAATATTAAGCAAACATTAAGAAAATCTTGTGAAAATCAAAAGGATATGATCAACCATCAGAAGACCGGGATTCAAAAAGATTGATGCGACAAGAATCCATGAGATATTTTTATTTTCTGAAATCAACAAGAATCTATCAAAAATTATGTAATATTAAGCTTGTTAAATTATAAAATTACTTATTTTCAAAGATAAAAAAAAACTCGATAAACTCGATACTTTTTCAGCGCATATAATAAAATTAATTCGGTAATAATAACAGTAGTACGTTGAAAGTAAATAGTTTCATCACTTGCGTAATTAAGGTTATCCACATTAAGCATGTTTTTATCCCATAATGACGCGGATTGCGATAAGAACCATTCGAACCAAGCAAAAAATGGTGGATAATCTAGTGTCCACTCACTTCTACTCTTAAAATCGAAATCGTAAAAAGAAAATATTCAATTATCGATCTTGGGCAAGTCTGAACTGTTAAAAATGTGTAAAATCACCTCGTAATACCATTCAGATACCGGGAGACTATGAGTAATAGCGAGCCAATTACGATGTACTTCAAAATCTGTCGAACGACTTAAAATAAATATTTTTTTGTTTTTTTACTTTATGCATAATTCTATTCAATAAGAATCCTAACAAAAAAAGAAAAAGTATTTACTATGCAGGATAAAGTAATAATTTGATGAATGTGCTAAAGATTAATAAATCTTGATGCATATTGAGTTTGAGAGAATCAACGAAATTTTTTGATGTAAACCGATATAAATAGTGGAAATAGTTACACGAATTTTTGGGGAACTCGCGTAACTAATGTTTCGTAGGGGTTGGCTAAAACCAGGCACACCACGAAATTCCAACAGGAGGGACCGTCCCAAATAAGGAAATGATGATCCCGATCATGCATATTGGTTTAGCCAATCAAAATTGTAAA